AGATCACTATATTAAACTTCACATAATCAAAATTATATTACATAATTAGATCAATACCTCCCTTTTAAATTAATATAATTAATATAATTAATATTATTAATATTTTTTAGTAAAGCGTCCCAAACTAAACTTCTCACGTTCTTTACCTCACTCGGTGGTGCAAACGCGTTTTTCATGGCTTTATATATGTTCTTGTATGGTAAAAAATCTCCCGGTTTATTACCATATTTAATATATCCGTTTTTGTGTTGTTCAGGTCCTGCAAATTTTGTACGTAAGAGACTTTTAAATGTGGGTTCAAAGAATTCAGAAGATTTAGAAAAACGTTTAGTAGGATAATATTATTTTTTTAAATAAATTTAACCGTATTCGATTTTATGTGGTTGTATTTTTACATAAAAGGTTTATGCTATTAATTTATCGTTATAAATTATTGAACTCATTTGGTAAAAATTTTATTTGCACATAACACATGAAATTATATTATCGCTTATGGAAAATTAATAATCTTAATTGCATAAAGTAAAATCTTTACAAAAATTTTAGAATTTACTTGAATATCATTTCATAATTGGTCATAGTATTATACGAACTTTGGTTCATTTATTATTATTATTATTATTATTATTATTATTGTGCTTTATTATTTATAAGCATTACATATGACGGAAATTTTCAGTTGAAATGCTGTGATTATTGAAATTAGGCAATATCATAAACAATGATCTGGTTCAGGTTATTTTTGGGTATTCTAACTAATCTGTTCGGAGTACTATTCATAAAAGGGATACAAAAACTCATAAGCAACTCATAAACGATGAATTTTACGATCACTGATCAAATTATCACAGATCACTATCTCAGTAATCACACCATATTTTATATCTAAAAATTACAAATTTCCGCTCATACGAGAAAATTTTTGAATAAATTCAAATCACAGAAAACTAATTCACAGAAATTTTATTTATAAACAAAGTAATTTACAGAATAAATATTTTATAGAGAGATTCGCTTCATAGACAGTTCATTTTACAGACATTTATTTTTATTGTAACCCTTAACTTCTATTAAGTTTATGCAGGGGTTCACTAAGTCTTGTGTTCAACAATGCAAAGCTTTCATTATGAACCAAAACTTCGACGATCGTCACGTTCTCTTATGAAATTCTCAAGTTTTATAGTGGAGTGTGAAAACTATTTAACTATTATTTAATAACTTTTAATCTCAAGATAATATATTTATATATAAGGAACGTATTATGGATTTTTAATATAAATAATTTAATAATATTCTTCTTGTTCATTACGCTTATGTTTTCTAACTGGCTGATTTTTTTTTTCCCTGGTATTACTACCATGGAACGCCGAGTAGGCGTACTTGGCTGATTTTTCAAAAGCCTGAAGGCTTCTTCATACTTTTCCTCCAGGAAAAATACAGGGTTTATATACTTTTTGGGGTTGTATAAAAAAAGTTACTTTAAAACAAGATGAATAGCAACATGCTATTGCAATATATTGCTATATTGATATATTGTGATATGTTTCCATTGTATTATAATATATTAGATATATTGTGATGTATTGCTATTGCAATATATCTGATATATTGTGATTTGTTGCGACTATGATCTCCTAATTATAGAAAAATGTTAAAAATTTTGATTATTTCCCACAAAGTTCTAGGTAATGTTTTTTTCTCCCTTCACAATATTATTATTCTTATGAGCTGATCAATTCATATAAACTTTGAATTTTGAATAAGTTTTATTTCTTTTGAAAAAGAATTTCTTTTAAGATCTTTTTTTTTTTCTCGTGAGGTTTTCATTCTGTGATAAAAGATTCGTAGCTCAGCTAATTATAATTTATTTTTTTTATTTTTTTTTTTTATATGCAAAAAATATATATATAAATGCTAATTACTTTGTTTTTACATTATAAAATCGTAAAATATTTTAATTAATAATAAAATTTTTGTGAATAGAGAGATCTATAAAATGATATACACTTATGGAGAGTTCACTATAAATACATATTTTAATTTCATACTAAATTATTTACAATTTAAAATACTGTATTCTTTATTTTTTTTAAGTAAATAACTAATTGTATCTAAAGTTGTAACATCAATTTTATTTGTATAAAGCCATAAAAATATAAGAGTCGTATTTTTATAAAGAGCTTGTGCTAATTCTTTCCCTACTTCAGAACCAAGTTGATTATTATCAAGATCCAAGAAAGTCAAAGAATTATTTATATAAAGAGCCTCTGCTAATGCTTTTCCTCCTTCAGATCCAAGCTTATTATTTTGAAGATCAAGATGAGTTAAAGTAGAATTTTTACAAAGAGCTTTAGCTAATGCTTTTCCTCCTTCAGTACCAAGTCGATTATTCCAAAAATATAAATGAGTTAAAGTAGTATTCTTATAAAGAACATTTGCAAATGCTTTTCCTACTTCAAAACAAAATTGATTTTCACTAAGGTTTAAAAAAGTTAATTTATAATTATTTAAAAGTGCTTCCGCAAATTCTTTCCCAACTTTAGAATCAAATTGATTATTTGAAAGACTTAAATGCGTCAATGTCGTATTTTTATAAAGAACTTTTGCTAGTGCCTTCCCTCCTATATTGCCAAATTGGTTATTACAAAAATAAAGGTGAGTCAAACTAGTATTTTTATAAAGAGTTTCTGCTAATGCTTTTCCAACCTCTGAATCAAGTTGATTTTCACTAATATTCAGAGAAGTTAGAGTATTATTTTTAGAAAGTGCTTCTGCCAATGCTTTCCCACCTTCAAAACCGAGTTTATTATTCTCAACGTTCAGGTATGTAAGCGTAGTATTTTCATAAAGAGCCTCCGCAAGCGCTTTCCCTCCTATACAATCAAGTCGATTATTTCTAAGATCCAAATGGGTCAGAGTAGTATTAATTCGAAGAGCTGCTGCAAGTGCCTTTCCACCTTCAGAACATAGACGGTTACTTGAAAGATACAATTGAGTTAAAGTATTGTTTTTATAAAGAGCATTTGCTAATGCTTTTCCTACTTCGGCACAAAGTCGGTTATCAAAAAGATTTAAGAAAATTAAGCTGGTATTTTTACAAAGAGCCTCCGCTATTGCTTTTCCACCCTCAATTCCAAGCCGATTATAACGAAGGTATAAGGAGGTTAGAGTGCAGTTTTTACTAAGAGCCTCCGCTAATGCTTTTCCTCCCTCAAGACCAATCTGATTATTCCAAAGATCCAAAGAGGTTAACGTATTATTATTATAAAGAGACTTTGCAAGAGCTTTAATTTCTTCAAAGTCAAAATCATTGTTTGCAAATTTTAAAGATGTTAAAGTTTTACATCTATTAAAGATCCTTTCTGATAAGTTTATTATTTCACCATTAATGTTTAAATCTTTAAGCTTCTTACATGTTTTCAAAAACATTGCAACTAAAGAAGACTTAATTATTTGAACAGCACTTTCAGTCCTTGACTCATAAGGTAAATAACGAGGTTCAAGTTCGGATCTTTTATGATTAAGCCAATTCATTATTCCATCATCTGAATTAATCTTAATAACTTTAGTATAAATAATATATTCAAATAATAATTTTTGATTATTTGGGAGTGCTATTCCTAATGGTAATAATTGAATCAATTCCTCAAAGTTTAACGCTAATATACACATTTCTATAAGTTTTCGATTTTTAGAAATGTCTAATTCTCTCCATAATATTGG